TCCAAGAGGGCTTCATGTTACAGGCCTCTTGGACCGTCTTGGGGTTATCGCCGGTCGTATTCAAAATATAATGGGCCGTCTTGGAGCATCTTGGAGTGGCCAGAGACGGCCGGAGGCATCCTGGGCATTCCTGGGAGGGGTGAGGGATCTAGTCCGTTTAACCAGATCCCCCCCCTGCAAGCCAGCCGGACCGAACCCCAAGGGGACGGCGGATAGCTCGGGATCTTGAAGGTGGACGCGGGGGCCGCGTGGTAACTGACCGCTTGCGCACAATACAAGTAATAGCGGTTCCAGGGCGTGAATCTGGCTGCACTTCTGCGGGTCCTGGTCGCCGAGGCATGAACCCAGAGTACTTTGCAATGGGTCGTGGCCTCGGAGGCGCGTATCGCGTGTACTTTACGAGAGATCTGCGCCTCGGGAGCGCGAGCGTCGTATATTTTCGAGGGATCCTTGACTCGGGCACCGCGCAGTCCCCTCCTGTTCGCACAAGCGTTCCAGTTTTGACGTCCCCATGTGATGCCACACCTGCAACGAACGTTCGAACATTCGCTTCCCGTTCTTGTCAGGTCAGGTTCCAGCTCGATGTTCCCCCCTCCCTGAGCCTGTCTCTTCCCTATCGTTCCCATTCGAGCGAGGGAGAGTCGAGGGATGAGGAGGGGGAGCATGTGGACCCAGACACCTGGTGGCTCGAGAAGATATGTGGGCGGCCAGTCTTTCGGCATTTTGAGCTTTGGTATGCTGGTTTCGTGCCTCAGCGCTGTCAAAAGTCGGCTCGGGATGACAAAATGGCCCTGGGGAAGGGGTCGAGAGCTGGTGAGCCCGTGTTTCGAAAAAATCGAAAGTGCCGGATGTTTGTGGTGAAGGGGGACGAGGAAGGGGACGAGGAGTGTGGAACACGAGAGGAAGGAACCGTCAGAATGGTCATTCGCCGACATGGTAGCGAAGCGACTTGTGCCCAGGCCTCGCAGGGGATGGAGGTAGGACCTCGTCACCTGGCGATGCGCGGCTCAGAAAAGACGGAACTGTTCGTAGGGCGGCCCCCACGGCAAGATCCAGCCGAATCGACTGACATTGCGCGGCTTGGGCTCCTGGCGGCTTGCCCAGGTTCTTTCTGTCAGCCCCAGGGGGAGAGGAGGGAGGAGGGGGATGATGATGATGATGATGATGATGATGATGATGATGATGATGATGATGATGATGATGATGATGATGATGATGATGATGATGATGATGATGATGATGACGACAATGAGGAGGAGGAGGAGGAGGAGGAGGAGGAGGAGGAGGATGAGGAGGAGGCCTCCAGAAGTCTCCAGAGTCACACAGGGCCAAGTACGAAACACAGCCATGACGCGAAGAAGGAGGAGGATAAATATGAGGAAGAGGAGGAGGAGGAGGAGGAGGAGGAGGAGGAGGAGGAGGAGGATGAAGAAGAGGAGGAGGAGGAGGAGGAGGAGGAGGAGGAGAAGGAGAAGGCGAAGGAGGAGGACCAGTGTACGCCCAATTCGCATCAACGACGTTGCAATCAACCCTCCCTCCAAGTTCCGTCGTTTTAGGTCCCCGCAAGACTTGTTTCACTGCTCAAAGTGCCCCGTTGGAAGATAACCGTCTGAGAACCCTCAACCGTGCCAAAGCACTACTCCTTGGACTTCAACGCCGCGAATCAACTTTACTATTGCGTCATGGCGATCCTGAGTCGTACCAGAGTGCCATTCCTGGGAGTTCAATACCGCCAATCAATGTGACTGTTGCACCCTGACAATCTGACATCGTGGGGAGCACTTTATTAGGGACGTCAGTCATACGACTCGTTAAAACTCTTGCAACCTTTAAATTCTTGTACACCTTTACGTAACATTGTAAGCTTTTACAAGGAGTATGCACGGCGCTCAAGCGAAAACCACATGCTGAAAGCCACCCGCCTTCATCCGTGAAGCTCTTGCAAACTTGTCGTGCGAGAAGCACATTTAAAAATTCCATTCGCCCTCCACCCGTGAAGCTGTTGCAACCTTTTCATACGAGTGTGCGCGGCGCTCACTCGAGAGCCGCAGTTTGAAAAAACAGCCTTGCATCCGTGAAGCTCTTGCAAACTTCTTTTGAACGTGCTTGCGCGGCACCCGAGCGAGACGAACATGTTGTAACATAGTCGCCCTCTATCCCTGAAGCTCTTGCACACTTTTTTTGGACGAGTGTGCGCGGCTCTGAGGCGAGAACCACATTTTGGAAAGGAGCCGCCCTCCATGCCTGACGCTCTTTCAAACTTTTTACGATGGATGTGCACGGCGCGAAGGCGATACATGCATTTTTAAAACCAGCCGCCCTTTACCCGTGAAGCTCTTGCAAGCTTTTAATGCGAATGTGCGCGGCGCTAAGGCGATAGTACATTGTGCAAACGACCCGCCCTCTAGCCGTGACGCTCGTGCAAACTTTTCAAATGAGTGTGCGCGGCTCGAAGGCGAGATCCACATTTTGAAAAGGGCCCGCCTTCTGTCCGTGGATCTCTCGCAAATCTGAAGCTCCAGGATCATACATTGACAGGGGGCCTCAGTCGAAACGCCCGGCCGTCCCTGACAACACGTGTTGGGGTGCGACAGGGAGGAGTTATTTATAACGGAAAGGGGTTGAGGAGGATGAGGAGGACAAGTGTAGTCCAAGACTCATTGACAATGTCGGAAAAAAACCCTCTCTCTCTCCGAATTCCTTCTTCGCAGGCCCCTACAAGGGTTCATTTCCACGGAGGGAAGCGCCCCTTTGGGAGTCAACCGTTTGAAGTGCCCAAAGCGTAGCAGACATCATTCTCGGGATTGTAACGCCCCGAATCAACTTGATTGTTGCGTCTTGACGATTTTTTACCGTGCCAGAACACGATTCCTGGGGCTTCAACGCCGCGAATCAACGTAATTGTTGCGCACTGACATTCTGAAGCATTCCGAAGCACCATTTCTGGTACGCTAACCGTGGGAATCTGTGAAACTCCGGCATTTTCTAAAAGGAGATTGCGCGCGGCGCTAAGGCGAGAGCCAAATATTGAAAACGGCCCGCCCTCAATCCGTGAAGCTTTTGTAGTTTTTTAGACGAATGTGCGTAGCGCGAAGGCGAGAGCCACATTTTGGAAGCGACCCGTCTTCAATTGGTGAAGCGTTTGGCAACTTTCAAGCTTCAGGATCAGAAGTGGTAAGACAGTCTTGGGTGAAGCGCCCGGACTGCCCTTCTGACTGGCTTCGGGTTGCGACAGGGAGGAGTATTTGGAAAAGGAATGAAGGAGGAGGAGGAGGAGGAAAAGGAGGCGAGGATAAGGAGGACCAGTGACATCCAAAAGACGCATCAACGGCGTTGCAGCCACCCCTCCCTCCAAATTCCACCTACATAGGTCCCTACAAGAGTTTATTTTCACTGCTGGAAAGGCCCCGTTGGAATACAACCGTATGAGAATCTCCAGTCGTGCCAAAACATTACTACTTGGATTTCAACGCCGCGAATCAACTGTTGCGTTATGGCGATCCAGAGTCTTGCCGGAGCACCATTTTCTTAGGACTTCAACACCACCAACCAGCGTGACTGTTGCGCCCTGACAGTCCCGAATCGTGTCGGACCTCCGTTATTGGGACGTCAGCCGTACGAGTCCGTTCAACTCTTGTAAACTAAGAAAAATTCGCGCGGCGCTCAGGCGGGAGCCACATGTTGAAAAGGAGCCGCCCTTCATTCGTGATGCCCTGGGGAACTTTTAATACGAATGTGCGCTGCGCTCAGACCTTGAGCCACGTTCTGATAACGACCCGCCCTCCGTGAACCGCTGACAAGCTTTTAAGACGAGTGTGCGCGGCGCTGAGGCGAGAGCCACATTTTTCAAAGGAACCGCCGTCCACCTGTGATGCTCTGGCAACCTTTAAGAGGAATGTGCGCAGCGCTGTGCGAGAGCCACATTATGAAAACGCGTCGCTCTCCATCCGTGAAGCCCTTCCAAACTTTTAGGACGAGTGTGCGTGGCGTTCAGGCGAGAGCCACATTTTGAAAACGGCCCGCCCTCCCTCCGGGAAGCTGCTGTAAATTGTGAGCTCCAGGGCCAGAAGTGCTGAGGAAGTTTCAGGCGAAACGCTCGACCCGCCCTACCAGCACGTGCCGGACTGCGACAGGGAGGAGTTGCTGATAAGGGGAATTGGGTGGAGGAGGAGGAGGACGGAGGACGCAGAATGGAAAATGGAGTCATGCGAGCACGAGACCACTCCTGAGCTAAAGTGAAGCACGACTTATAAGGCAAATGGTGCTGCGTGCGAGGTCAGACCACCATCACGCGCCAGAGAGACCCAACGAATTTAACTGAAACTTAGCTCCAGTTGCTGGGTGCGGAGGAGGAGGAGTAGGAGGAGGAGGAGGAGGGGAGGAGGAGTAGGAGGAGGAGTAGAAGGAGTGAGCGGATGGGTAGGAGAAGGAGTGATAGGAAAAGTGAGGGGAGGAGGATTGCTTCTGTCGGTGCCCTGGCGCGGCGCAGGAGTCCGCTGTCACATCCTCCCTCCTCCCTCCCTCCTCTTCCTGTTCTTCAGATCCTCCTCTGCGTCGAGGGAGGGGGGTCATGACGGGCGTCGGGTAGAAATGTGATGAGGAGCAATGGGAGGAGGAGGACCAGGATCAGGAGCTTCCTCCCCCGTGTTCCCGATCCCCACCCCCGGAAGGAGGAGGAGGCGGAGGAGGAGGAGGAGGACGGAGGGAGGAGGGAGGAGAAGGAGGAGAAGGAGGAGGAGGAGGAAAAGGAGGAGGAGGCGGACGAGGAGGAGGAGGAGGAGGAGGAGGAGGAGGAGGAGGAGGAGGAGGTAGAGGAGGAGGAGGAGGAGGAGGAAAAGGAGGAGGAGGAGGACGAGAACGAGGACGACAACGATGACGACGATGACGACGAGCAGGGGCGGGGTAGGAGGGGGAGATGGGGCAGGACAAAAGAAAACGGAGGAGGAGAGCCCGCGCGCGGGGGTTGATACGAAGAGGGCCAGCGCGCGCGGGGAGCGCAGGGTCCCCCTGCCCTCGGGCGGCATGCCCTGCGACTACAAGTTCGTGATATGCGCCGCTCCGAGCTCGCTTTCGCTCGTCCTCGCTCGCGGGCGTTGGAAGGGGGAGGGGGGAGGAGGGAGGGGGAGGAGAGAAGAGGGAGGAGTGAGGAGGGATGAGGGGGAGGGAGGAGGGAGGAGGGAGGAGGGAGGAGGGAGGAGGGAGGGAGGGAGGGAGGGAGCAGGAGGATGATGATGATGAGGAGAAAGGAGGAGGAGGAGGGAAGGAGGAGGAGGAGGAGGAGGAGGAGGAGGAGGAGGAGAACAGGGAGGAGGAGGAGGAGGAGTAGGAGGAGAAGGAGGAGGAGGAGGAGGAGGAGCAGGCGGATGAGGACCAGTGTAAACCCATGACTCATCAACGATGTTGAAATACATCCTCCCTCCAAGATCCCTGTTCACAAGCTCTTGCAAAGGGCAATTTCCACTGTGGGGAGTGCCCCGTTGGGGGTCAACCGTGTGAACTTCTTGAAGTGTGCCGAAACACCATTCGCAGGACGTCAACGCCACGAGTTAACTTGTCTGTTACGTCTTGGCGATCCCGAATCGTGCCAGAACACCATTCCTGGGACTTGAACACCGCGAGTCAAGGTAACTGTTGCGCCCTGACAATCTTGAATCGCTCCAGCATATTTAAGGTACGTTAGCCATGAGAACCCGTGAAACTCCGGCACATGTTTTTGAATAATGTGCGCGGGGCTAAGGCGAGAGCAACATTTTGAGAATGAACCGCCCTCAGTCCGTGAACCTCTGGCAAACTTATAGAACGAATATGCGCGGCCTTGAGGCCAGAGCCACGTTTTGAAAACCACCCGCCCGCAATCAGTGAAGCTCTTGTCTTTTTCAAAACGAATATGCGCGGCGCTAAGGCGAGAGCAGCATTTTGAAAACCGCCCGCCTCAATCCGTGAAGCTCTTGCACATTTCTATAACGAATGTGCGCGGCGCTGAGGCGAGAGTCACATTCTGAAAACCACCCGCCCTGGAACTGTTGTCGCTTTAAGTATCAGGGTCATAAGTGGTGAGGAAGTCTCAGGCGAAACGCCCGGCCCGCCCTTTCGACCGGCCCCGGGGTGCGACAGGGAGGATTAATTTGTAAGAAAAAAGAATGGAGGAGGAGGGAGGGGGGAGGAGGGTGGAGGGAGGAGGGAGGATGGAGGAGGGGAGGAGGGAGGAGGGAGGAGTGAGAAGGAGGAGGAGAAGCAGGCGGATGAGGACCAGTGTAAACCCATGACTCATCAACGATGTTGAAATACACCCTCCCTCCAAGATCCCTGTTCACAAGCTCTTACAAAGGGCGATTTCCACTGTGGGAAGTGCCCTGTTGGGGGTCAACCGTGTGAACATCTTGAAGTGTGCCGAGACACCATTCGCAGGACGTCAACGCCACGAGTTAACTTGACTGTTACGTCTTGGCGATCCCAAGTCGTGCCAGAACACCATTCCTGGGACTTGAACACCGCGAGTCAAGGTAGCTGTTGCGCCCTGACAATCTTGAATCGCTCCAGCATGTTTTGGGTACGTTAGCCATGAGAACCCGTGAAACTCCGGCACGTGTGTTTGAAGAATGTGCGCGGGGCTAATGCGAGAGCAACATTTTGAGAATGAACCGCCCTCAATCCGTGAGCCTCTTGCAAACTTATTGAAATAAAATGCGCGGTCTTAAGGCCAGAGCCACGTTTTGAAAACCACCCGCCCTCAATCAGTGAAGGTCTTGTATTTTTCAAGACGAACGTGCGCGGCGCACAGGGGAGAGCAGCATTTTGAAAACCACCCGCCTCAATCCGTGAAGCTCTTGCACATTTCTATAACGAATGTGCGCGGCGCTAAGGCGAGAACCACATTCTGAAAACCACCCGCCCTCAATCCGTGAAGCTCTTGCATGTTTGTTTGAACGAATGTGCGCGGCGAGGCGAGAGACATATTTTCAAAACAACCCGCCCTCCATTTGTGAAACTGTTGTCGTTTTAAGTATCAGGGTCATAAGTGGTGAGGAAGTCTCAGGCGAAACGCCTGGCCCGCCCTTTCGACCGGCCCCGGGGTGCGACAGGGAGGATTTATTTGTAAGCAAGAGGAATGGAGGAGGAGGGAGGGGGGAGGAGGGAGGAGGGAGGAGGGAGGAAGGGAGGAGGGAGGAGGGAGGAGGGAGGGGGGAGGAGGGCGGAGGAGGAGCAGGAGGAGGAGGAGGAGGAGGAGGACGAGGAGGAGGATGCGGAGGAGGAGGAGGAGGATAAGGAGGAGGAGTAGGAGAAGGAGGAAAAGGAGGAGGGGAGGCCCCTTCCTAAGCCCGCTGCCAGCGTGAGGACATGGAAGGGGAATAGTTGCAACCTATGCCGACCACCAATCCGTTTCAAAGTTCAATGTTAGCGACGGGACATGCGGCGGATTGAGCGGCTCGCAGCTTATGACCACACACCAAAGACGTGCACAACCATGTCTGTCCCCCTTCTCCTATGCCTACTGCCGGACATGGAGGGGGCGCAGCTACGACAAGAGGCAGCCAGCCTACGCCCATTTTGACATGAGAGCATGATGGGGGAGACTCGGACCACAGCTACAGCATCGAGCGGCGGGCGAGAAGCAGTCTCATGACCAAACCGCCCACGCACCTAGAGTTCGGGCAGTAAGCGTCGTCAGGACGACCCTCCCAGTAGAGCGCCACGCGAGAATGGACCAGCCATTGAGGGAAGATACGGGCGCACAGCGTAGCCTTGCAGAGGGGTCGTCGATAATGATTCGCAATCACAGGTTGCAGTCCACCAGTTGTGCACACAAGACACATACATAGCTGTATACTGGGGCACCGTGTACTTGGCTTCCAAGACCGTCTCCCGCTACAGCAAGACCCTGCACGAACACCATACCACGCTTGCATACCAACCAGCGACCGACGAAATATGGCAGGCCACAGTCGACGAAAGGATGGACAAGACTGTCTGGCGTTACTTCTTCTGCCACTCTGGCAACTGCATAACATTTGGCCGACGCTGGCTTCAGCGACCTCAAGTGGTATGCCGCACTACCATAACATCATCAAGTACAATGACGAGGACGGTGCCATCAAGGGACAAGCCAACTACTTGTGCGATGGCAAGCAGCAGCCGCTCATCACCATCCCATGGCACAAAGCGGGGCAGCTCGCCGAGAGGGAGAAAGAGCCCAGTGCTCGTCGACCCATTCAAGGGGCACCAGGAGAACCCCAAGCATATCCACAGCGCCTACACCAAGCAACTCACGAGATCCAAAGTCTTCGAGATGGAGGAGGGCACCACCGTCCACAGCAAGCACGTCGAGGTGGACGCCGCCGCGCACGTCGATTTCGTACACCTTGGCGCTGCACCAGGCCACAACTTCCTCACACCATCAGAGGCTAGGGCCATGCGCAAGTACCTGGGGGACGTCACCGAAGGCGTGGGAGCAATGGCTAAGCGTCCAAACGCCAGCGTGTGCAGTCTCGCAGGGGACAGCCAGTACATCGCGCCGCATACCATCCGGGGGGGGGGGGGGTACGCGCGCTTCCAGACCCTACTGGAGACCAGGTCCCTCTATCCTGCTACAGCCAGAGCTAGATCACCCCCCTCGAAGGCTGCACAGCATCGCTATTGCTACCACTCGGGATAGGACCACCAATGGAGCCGACATTCGGATCGGGTGCAGGCAATCTACCAGCGTGGCCAGCCGAGCTCGGCGAGCTACACCACGCGGGACAGTCCTTGTCTACAGGGGCGTGGCCAGGGACATAACCGATGATGGCGGCAACGTCATCGCCAATTGTGCCACCAACGGCGCGGACAACGCGGAAATGGAGTTGATGCCGCCGCCAACGCCAACACCTACGCCAGTCCAGAGGCCACGCGAAGATACCATTCCATGGAAACCTTTATCAAGAATGGGCACCCGCGGCAGCATACTCGTCATCAACGTGAGCGATTGCGACAACAGATGCGAGGAAAGCAAGGCATCCGTCGACAAAGAGCTGGGAGAGATGCGACAGACGCGTGAGCTGAACCTGGACCTCGAGTGCGACGAGAAGCTCCGCTTGCTTGGCAGGTCTCTTCCAGATCCCAGGGTTCCAAGGTCTATGCCCCGCCTGGCACGCAGTCGATCCAATTGCCAGAACGCCACCCATCCTCATATCACCAGAGGAGAGGTCCCGAGCCTTCCCCCACCGCCAGACGATTGCGACGACGGTCACAGTGCTGGCGGGCAAGCCAGCACCATCGAACATTCCACAATGGACGACGCGCCCGACGGTTGAGCAGAGCCAGCCCGACATGCGACAAAGGTGCGCCCATGCGCATCAAGAAGATCGACGCCCCTTGTCTACGTGGACATCGATGCAGGACTGCCGGCGCTGCAGTCGCACCGCATGCAGCTGCCATGCCTATGGAAAGCGTGCTCCAGGGGCGGCGAGGCTACGGCATATTGCCGTAATCCGCAGACGAAAGAGCCCACGTGGGAGTCCACAGAGAGCTTGAACCTCCGAGCGCAATGGGAAAAAGGTAACTAGTAACGACAATAAAACATTCACCACAACTGGCAGCATTTCTACGCGAAGCAGGGGTCCCCGACGCAGGGCTGATGTAGGATCTGGAGACGGGGTCGCGGCGGGGATCGCAGCGAGCAAACTGCGCGAGATGCCCCGGCAGGGGGGATATGTCGAGGAGCTCGCGAAGTGGCGCCTCGACCGGGGGGCGGCCGACCGGACTGCCCCAGATGCGGCCAATTACAGCGACGTATAGGACGGCGGCGATTAAACCCCGGTGCACCTCGCGGATTCGGCCTCGGCGGGCAAGGCGGTCAAGAAGTCCGAGGAGCGGCTGCGCACCACCACTTCCGTAACGACAGCGTCATTGAGGCGCTGGCAGTCCTGGAGAGCGCGAGCGGCAATAAGAGACTCGTGCATGACGGCGCGCGCGAGGTCGCCTTGAGCCGCCGCATTTGATGTCGGAACCGACAGGGGATGCCGAGGCCCGCTGAGACGAATCTCGTCATGTTATTGCGAGGGCTGGCGCGAAGTCATTCTCTCGTTCGTCACCACCGTCGAGAGCGCGCGTCGTCTCGTCGACGTCCGCGAGGACGAGTGGGGCATGCCGGCCTTCGAGTTGGAAGGCGATGTTTGTTGCGACACCGTCGGCACCTCCGGGGTATCCAGCGCCTCAGAACGATGGGGCAGATTGTCTGGGGCCAGACTGAGAGCGATCGTCTGCTTGTTGGGATGCGACTTGCCAGTGGAACAGTTCATCTATGACCTGGGGGCAATCGGGGTGGGGCGTCGGTGGCGACTGGCGAAACTCATCGTGGTCTTCCTACGGCGTCTTCGGCTACCCTGTGCAGAGGGCCAAGACGTTGAGCGTCGTCGAGGTGGATTGGATCGGCCTCCGCTGCATCTGACCGAAGTGCACCGTGGGGCTCTCGGAGGCGAGGGCGGCTCGAGCGGCGGCCAGGGGTCGGGGGGCGGTCGGGCGCGGCGCCATCCTCGCGGGCGAGATGGCGTCGGGCTTGGGCGGTATTGCAGCTATGGTCCTTGCCTTGGAGAGGCCGCCCCTGGGGCTGGAGCGCGCCTGGCTCTCCAGCGTCGCCAGGGAGACATGGTGAGGGCCCCCCTGCCCCCGTGCCGTGGGGGCCCAGGCTCGCGCTTGCGTGGGTCGGCAAGCGACTGGCACGTGGACAATGGCTAGAGGCGTCCATCAAGTTCAACGCCCAGAGCGCTGGGCGCCCCCGTTCGGGCGGCGCGAAGGCGGACGGCGGGGCGCCGCCGGTCCGGCGGCTGGGAAGCGCCGCCGGGCGGCAGCGCGCGAGGAGCTCGCTGGTGCGCGCTGGAGGTAGAGAGGGGTGGTGGTTCCCTTGTGCATTTGCTGAGGCAGACGACTCGCGCAGGGCTATCGCGGCGCCGGTGCCCCCCGGCTCGATCCCCGGCGCGAAGCTGTTCGCGAGGCCCGGGGGGCTGCGACGGAGGGCGAGGCGCAAGATAGTGGGATCGACGGACAACCGTGGGAACGCCTGCGCGTGGAACGGGGCCATGTCGATCAAGTGGCCATTGGCGAGCTATCGGAGGAGCTGAGGTCGCAGGAGATTGCGCCTAGCTTGCGCGTGCGCTGCCAGGGGGTCGCAGGCGCGCGCGCGCCTGGCGCCGCAGTGACGGCTCTGCCCGGCGCGTCTCGGACGGCGTCGCGCGGGCGGAGCTGTAGGTGGCGCGGCGGCGCGAGGGGCTCCGTTCGGCCCCTCGGGGCGGGGGCCCAGCGCGATGCGCTATTGCGCGCTTGCGTGGTTGTCTTGATCGCCCGCCTCCTGGGCGCCGCCGCGGGGAGGGCCCCCCCCTTCTCGCTTCTGGGCCCGCCTTCTCTCCGCCGCGGCGGCGGGTGAGTCGGGGGCGGGAAGGTGGGGCCCCGGCCGCGGAGTGATCGGCGGGCGGCGGGGGGGGGCTCCGAGACCGCGCCCGCGCCCCTTCGCGCGCGAACTCGGCGCGGGAAGGGGTGTGGCGGTGCCTGAGAGATTGGGCGTGGGAGGCGGGGTGTGGTGGCGGGCCTCGACGCTTCCGGCGTTCGGTTGGGGGCCCCGCTGGGGCCCGCGCCCTGCGCCTCCGGGCCCGCGCCCCGCCGTTCCTGGGTGGCCCGCTCCCATCCCAGAGGGGGGGGCGCCAAGTTCCTGGGAGAGGTTCGCGCCTCTTCGCGAGGGGGCCCCGTTCCGCCGCCCGTGAAAGAGGCGTCGACGTCGCCCCCGCTGCTCTACCGCCATCGCCCCCCGATTGTAGGGCTGTTCGAAGATGCGCCCCCATGTGCCAACGCGAATGTGTACCCCCTCGCTCTGCCCAGTGCCAGTGGCCAGTTGGGCTCGGGCGCTCGGCCGATTTTGAACAACCCGCCCGCCGCCATTGGCCATCAAGTTTCTGCGAGTGGCTCGGGCCCCTGAGCGAGAGGGTTCCCGTTTCCGCCATCCGTAATATAGGCATCAGCGCCACTTTCTTGTTCGCCAGCGTCGCGCCGACTGTGAGTTTGTTCGAGGATACCATGGCGTAGCACGTCACATCGCATTATAGCGCATACAACAACACCATCTGTGATCACCAAATCATATTATCCTCAGCATGCCATACCACTCACTGTGCAATCTTACACGCATCGTACCAAACCAAAGTAATCTACTGTAAGCGCCATCGTGGCAATACACCACGGCACACCACCTCATTATTACCATAACACTTCACATCCAGCCATTCAGAATTCGCCCAACTACTATCAATATCATCATGCCTTTCCGCCTCGGATCGCACAATGCCACTACCATACCGTCGCATATTAACGCACACACACATATATATATATATATATATATATATATATATATATATATATATATATATTTACAACACGTCACAGCTTATATGCGCCATTGCATACCGTACCGCTAACACTGCACATGATATCATCGCATCGACGAGCAGTCACGTAACGAAGCATGGCATGGCGTAGCGTAGCAACACACGACATGAGAGCGAGCATTTGGAATTTGAAAGTGCACGACACGGTCGCGTTTCTCTTCGCACAAGAAGTTAGACTCTTCAGGCCGTCCTATCTTCGGGGAGGTCAGGATGCCGCACGGTTTTGAGACCTTGTGGTGTCTGTCAGAGACGTGTCCGTACATGGACCCAAACCAGATACCTGGTTCCCCGTGCGCGCCCAAGCCCCGCAACGCAGAGTTGTCACCCTTTTCGCCGGCCCTGGGTAATCCAAGCCAGAGTAGTTTCCCATGGGAACTGGGCCTTTCCTTCCCTCGATGCATGTGAATGCGAAGCGGCTGCCGTGGGGACCCAAGCTGGTGTTCGCTTCCGGTGGGTGTTAGCAACCGTAGGGTATTTGTCAGTTTGTGAGTGCCTTTTGGGACATGCAGGTGCGTCTCGCGAGGAACTTTGACAGAGACTTTGTTTGTCATTGTTCCTGTTGTTCCGCTTCTTTTCATGGTCATTATTGTTTTTCCGCCGATCATTGTTCTTATGTCTCTTATTAATATTGTTGGTCCTCCTCTTCGTCTTCCTCTTTCTCGAGTTCTTCCCTAATCTCCTTCCCCTTGTTCGAACGTTTCTTTTTATTGTTCATCCCTGTTGTTCTTCCCGCCAAGGCGCCGACGGGGGCACCGCGCGGTGGGAGCCCGGCCCGAACAGAAGGCTGCCCCCCCAAGACGTGGTGAAGGACCCGCGGCCGCCGCGGCGTCCCCCGCCGCACCCGCTGGGGCCGCGTCGCGGGCGTCCCCCCTCCTGGGAGATGGACGGAATGGGGGAAAACGATATTCGAGAAAGATGGGGAGGAGGAGGAGGAGGAGGATGAGGAGGAGGAGGAGGAGGAGGAGGAGGAGGAGGAGGAGGAGGAGGAGGACGAGGACGACGGACGAGGACGAGGACGAAGAGGAGGAAGAGCAGGAGAGGAGGAGGAGGAAAGGAGGAGGAGGAGGAGGAAGAGGAGGAGGAGCAGGAGGAGGAGGAGCAGGAGGATGAGGAGCAGGAGGAGGAGGAGGAGGATGAGGAGGAGGAGGAGGAGGAGGAGGAAGAGGAGGAAGAGGAAGAGGAGGAGGGGGAGGAGGTTTCGGATCCATGTTGGCTGTTTTTGGGCCCCTGGGGTGCTTTCTATCAGCTGCGCTTCGTCGTCGTCATCGTTCTCGTCGCCGTCGTCGCCGTCGTTGTCGTCGCCGTCGTGCTGTTCCGTTGTTGCTGTTGCCGTTGTTGCTGTTGCTGTTGCTGTTGCTGTTGCTGATGATGATGATGATGATGATGATGATGATGATGATGATGATGCTGATGCTGATGATGATGATGATGATGATGATGATGATGATGATGATGATGTTGTTGCTGGTCAGGGCGGTTATGAGGGACGCGTCCCGAGCGCTCGCTGTAATCGCCTCGACCCTAGTATTCAAGGCGGATCAGAAGGACGCGTGGCTAGCACCCACCCCCAGCAACCTAGCAACGGAGCAACCCAACGAAAACAAACGCAAATTAAAGATAATGCTCTCCTTAAGGGTTAATATTAACCGTCCGTGGATTTGAGCTCGTAACCGTGAAGAATGTAACGTTCGTGTAGTGTCATAGCGTAGTGTTGAAGACATCTGGGTGTGACGCTACGCTACTGTTAGCGTAGTGTCGTAGCGTAGTGTTGGGGACACCTGGGCTTGACATTATGCTGTGACACGACGCTACGGTTCGCGTAGTGTCACAGCGTAGTGATGGGGACACCTGGGCGTGACACTACGCTTTAACAGTACGCTACTGTTAGCGTAGTGCCATAGCGTAGTGTTGGGGGCACCTGGGCGTGACACTACGCTATGACTGTACGCTACGGTTCGCGTAGTGTCATAGCGTAGTGTTGGGGATGCCTGGGCGTGTCACTACGATATGACAGTACGCTACGGTTGGCGTAGTGTCATAGCGTAGTGTTGGGGGCACCTGGGCGTGACACTACGCTATGACTGTGCGCTACGGTTCGCGTAGTGTCATAGCGTAGTGTTGGGGACGCCTGGGCGTGTCACTACGATATGACAGTACGCTACGGTTGGCGTAGTGTCATAGCGTAGTGTTGGGGGCACCTGGGCGTGACACTACGCTGTGACACCGCGCTATGGTGGAGGCGGGAGAGAAGTACTCGTTTTGTTTTTTGTTGTTCCTTGGGGTTTTGCTTGACTCCGCTCCGTGAGAGGGGACGCTACGATACTGTCAACGTAGTGTCATAGCGTAGTGTTGGGGGCACCTGGGCGTGACACTACGCTGTGGCTTTACGCTACGGTTGAGCGGGGGGAGAAGAAATAGCTTTTTTGTTCGTTTGCTTTTCCTTGGGGTTTTGCTTGACTCTGCTTCGTGAGAGAGGACACTACGATACCGTCAACGTGATGTCATAGCGTAGTGTGGGGGGCACTTGGGCGAGACACTACGCTGTGACACTACGCTACGGTTGAGCGGGGGGAGAAGAACTAGCTTTCTTGTTCGTTTGCTTTTCCTTGGGGTTTTGCTTGACTCTGCTTCGTGAGAGAGGACACTACGATACCGTCAACGTAGTGTCATAGCGTAGTGTTGGGGGCACCTGGGCGTGACACTACGCTGTGACACTACGCTTTGGTTGAGAGGGGACAAGGAGTCGTTTTTTTTGTCGTTTGCTTTTCCTTCGGGTTTGTTTGATTCTACTCCGTGAGAGAGGACACTACGATACGGGTAGCGTAGTGCCATAGCGTAATCTTGGAGGCACCTTGGCGTGACACTACGCTATGACACTACGCAACGGTTGAGGCGGAGGGAACATGAAGAGTTTGTTGTTATTTGGCGTTGCTTTTCCCTAGGATTTTACCTCGCTGGACTTTGCTCCGTGACAGAGGATTTTGCGCTGCGGTTAGCGTAGTGTCATAGCGTAGTGTTGGAGGCACTTGGGTGTTACACTACGCTATGGTACGCTACGGTTAGCGTGGTGTCATAGCGTAGTGTTGGGGGCACCTGGGCGTGACACTACGCTATGACACTACGCTACGGTTAGCGTAGTGTCATAGCGTAGTGTTGGGAACACTTGTGCGTGACACTACGCTATGACTGTACGCTACGGTTAGCGTAGTGTCATAGCGTAGTGTTGGGGGCACCTGGGCGTGTCACTGCGCTATGACACTGCGCTACGGTTGAGGCGGGGGAGAAGTGTTTTTTTTTCTCGTTTGCTTTTCCTTGGGGTTTTGCTTGATTCTGCTCCGTGAAAGAGGATACTACGCTACCGTTCGCGTAGTGTCATAGCGTAGTGTTGGGGACACCTGGGCGTGAAGAATGATTTCTGTTGGTCCCCCTCACCGGTGCGCATTGTTTTTTCTCAGTCAAAGTGCGCCCCTCGACGCTCGCACCCTGTTTATTTGACAGGGAAAGTCATCCGGGCCAAACTGTGCCCCTGGGCCCCCGGCTACAACAACAACAACGGCTCCCGCCTCAGACGCGCCCAGTGAGGCCCCGCCACGCTGCCCACAGAGGCCCCTGACGCAGCCCACAGAGGCCCCGAACGCGCCCGCAGAGGTCCCCCCCAGGGCTTCCCCAATTACGCGTGGCCAGGAAGGAATATACCCCCCCAAAAGGGGGTACGATCGGAGACAAAGAAAGCGGGTATCCAGGGTTTGGGATATGCATAGTGAATGTGAATGACACGCGGGCCCGTAGGAGCGAACAGTCTTGGAATGATTGTTGTTGCTGTTGTTGTTGTTGTTGTTGTTGTTGTTGCTGCTGCTGCTGCTGTTGTTGTTGTTGTTGTTTTTGTTGTTGTTGTTGTTGTTGTTGTTGTTGTTGTTGTTGTTGTTGTTGTTGTTGTTACTGCTGCTGCTGCTGCTGCTGCTGCTGTTGTTGTTGTTGTTGTTGTTGTTGTTGTTGTTGTTGTTGTTGAATACTCGTTTCCAACATTTTTTATTGTGGATCTCCGGAAACGGTTCCGCGCGCTCTCGCCTCGACGCCGGCTACATTTTCTGTGAAAACGAGGCTCCCGCTCGAGCGTTGGCCTGACCCGAGATGTGCGCCCTTGGAGGCCCAGCTACGACAACAACGGTTCCCGCTCGATGCTTCTTCACAAGTTACCCCGAGACACCCCGGCCAGAGAGGCCCCCGAACTCAGGAGCGGCGCTCTCGCTCGAGACTTCCTCGCAATTCAATTAAGCTGGCGGAGGCCCTTCCACGACGATAAGGGCTCCTTCTCGATACTTCCTCGCGATTTACTCCGAGAACTCCTGGCCAAGAAGGCCCCCGAACTCAGGAACAGCGCTCTCGCTCGAGACTTCCTCGCGCTTCATGCAGAACCCACGTTTCAGCAACCCGCCTGCTCGACCTCGTCGCCTGGGCCCGCCTTCCCGACCTGCCCGCTATGAGTCTGTCTGCCCGATCTGCCCGTCTGGTTCTACCACTTGTTCTCTGCTCCTTGCCCCTCTTCTGCAAATTTCTCTCGTGCTCCATTCTTCCCCCTCCCCCTTCCGCCCGTCCTCTCTTCCTTTGTTTTAGGGGCTGCACTGAATACGCGTGGCAGGTAAGGAAGATATACCCCCAAGGGGGTGCGATCGAAGACGACGAGGGCGGGTGCCGAGGGTTTGGGATATACGTATTAATTGGCACGTGAGCAAATAGGAGCGGACAGTCTTAAAATAATGTTGTTGTTGTTGTTGTTGTTGTTGTTGTTGTTGTTGTTGTTGTTGTTGTTGTTGTTGTTGTTGTTGTTGTTGTTATTGTTGTTGTTGTTGTTGTTGTTGTTGTTGTTAATGTAAACCAAAGGCCAACAACCCAGTTTGGTGGCACTCCATTTTCCCTTGTTAAAACTGAGTTCGGGCCCCGGGAGAAACACTTTGGACAAATGCAAATGTTACCGGGCAGGGGGGATCAACAACAACTATTTGTTAGGAGTGAAAATTCAACAGCAGCAGCAACAGCAACAATACTTGTAAGACTGTCCGCCCCTATTTGCTCACGCGCCAATCGATACGTATATCCCGAACCCTCGGTACCTGCCCTCGTCGTCTTCGATCGTGCCTCAATGGGGGTATATCTTCCTTACTTGCCAGATGAATTTAGCGCAGCCCCTAAAACAAGGGAGGAGAAGACGGGTGGAAGGGGGGGAGAGAATAATGCAGCACGAGAGAAATTAGCAGGAGGGGGGCAAGGAACAGAAAACAAATGGTAGAACCAGGCGGGCGGATCGAGTGGGCAGACCCACAGCGGGCAGGTCGGGAATGCGGGCCCATTCGACCAGGTCGAAGAGGCGGGTTGCTGAAGCGTGGGTCCTGCATGAACTGCGAGGGAGTCTTGAGTGATAGCGCGATTCCCAAGTAAATCGTGCGAGAAACCAAAGCGAGAGCAGTATCCTTGAGCGCCGAGGGCGCATCGTTTGAATAAGCTGCGAGGCAGTCCAACGCGAGAGCGCGATTCCTGTATACATTGAGGAAATCCCGCGCGAGTTCGCGATTTGGGAATACACTGTGAGGAAGTATCAGGCGGGAGCCGTTGTTGTTGTTGTTGTTGTTGTTGTTGTTGTTGTTGTTGTAAACCGGTGGCCAGGGGCTCAGTTTGAGGCCAGTGAGTTTCGTTGGAAAAAACAGGGTGCGAGCCCCGGGAGAAGCATTTCAATAGAAAGAATAGAATGGTCACCAGAGGGGGGATCAACAATAATAGTTCGTCGTTAGTGAGAGTTCAACAATCATTTTAAGACTGTTAGCTTTTACCTGCTCGCATGCCATGCAACACGTATATCCAAAACTCTCGGTACCCGCCATCTTCGTCTTTGGTCGTACCCCTTGGGAGGTATATCTTCCTTACCTGCCGCGTGTATTTGGTGCAGCCCCTGAAGCAGGGGAAGACAGGACGGATGAGAGCAGAAAGTGCGTGGCAAAACCAGGCGGGCCCATCGAGCGGGAACACCCTAACGGGCTGGTCGGGAAGGCGTGCCCAAGCGGCTAGGTCGAAAAGGCGTCTTGCTGAAACGTGAGTACTACATGAATCGCAAGGAAAACTCGAACGATAGCACGACTCCCAAGTAAATCGTGAAAGAGGCCAGAGCGAGAGTGTGATTCTTGGGTGAAGTCCCACGCGAGAGCGCCATTCCTGCACACATTATGAGGAAGTTCCGCGCGAGAGCGCGGTTTTCGAATACATGGTGCGGAAATGTTAGGCGGGAACCGTTGTCGTTGTAGTTCGGGGCCCAACAACGCAGTTCGGTGACCCTTCGCTATTCCTTGTAAGAAACCGGGTGCGAGCCCCGAGGGGAGCACTTTAATTAGAAAAATGGAATGGTCAACGGGCAGGGGGGGATCAACAACTATGATTTAGATTTGAGAGTTCAACAACGGCTCCCGCCTGATACTTCGTCACAATTCATTGAACATCGCCCTCTCGCGCGGGATTTCCAAGCAATTTACTAAAGGAATCGCGCTCTCGCGTGGGATTCCCCCCGCTTGATTCAGCGACCCGCCCGCTCGACCCAGCCGTCTGAGCCCGTCCTCCCGGCCCGCCCGTTAGGGTCCGCCCGCTCGACCCGCCCGTCTGATTCTGCCGCTTCCCTTCCTGTTGCCATCCCCTTTCCTGCTGGTATCTCTCGTTCTCCATCCTTATCCTTATCCCCTGTTGCTGCACCCCCCTCCTCTCGCGTGGCAGGTAAGGAAGATGGTACCCCCAAGAAGGGGGTACGATCGAAGACGACGGGGGCCGTCGTCGAGGGTTCGACAAATACCTTTTGATTGACATGGGAGCAACAAAGAGCCAACAGTCTTTAACTGATTGTTGTTGAGGTTTTCGGGCTCTGTGGGGGTGCTTCTCATCAGTGGTGCCTCGTCGTTGTCGTTGTCATCGTCGTCGTCGTCGTCGTCGTCGTCGTCCCTGTCGCGGTCGCCGTCTTCGTTGCGCGCGTGCGCGCGCAAGCGCCGAGAGAGGCCGCCGGGCCGGCGGTGGCCATCCGGGAGGCCGCGCCCCCTTTTGCCCCTCCGTCGCCGCCGCCGCCGTCGCGGTCGTCATCGTGGCCGCCGCCGCCGTCGTCGTCGTCGTCGTCGTCGTCGTCGTCGTCGTAGTCGTCGTCGTCGTAGTCGTCGTCGTCGTCGTCGTCGTCGTCGTCGTCGTTCGTCGTCGTCGTCGTCGTCATCGTCGCTGTCGTTGTCATCGTCGACGTCGTCGTCGTAGTCGACGTCGTCGTCGTAGTCGCCGTCGTCGTCGCTGTCGTCGTTTGTCGTCGTCGTCGTCGTCGTCGCTGTCGGCAGCGACACCCTGTGCCGTGGCAGCATGCCGTGCCACAGCGCTCGGTTGCGACATCCGTGGCAGGCACGCCCATTTCTGCGTTCCTTTGCTGCGGCTGTCGGGGCTGCGACGTGGGCGCCCGCTGCCGCGCGGGACTGCCGTGGGATCGTGCTGCCTTACTTCCTGCCCCCCGTCTCCCTCCCCCCTCCTACTCCCTCCTCCCCCCTCCCCGCTCCCTCCTCTTCGCCCTCTCCTCCCTCCGTTCTCCTCCTCGCCGTCACTTCCTCCTCCTCGCCCCACTCCCTCCTCCTCGCCCCCCCACTTCAGGGCTTCGCCTTCTCTTGTAAGGGGCCTGATTCGTGTTCGCGTGCCCCGCTTGCCCTCTCCAGACCCGGATCTCGTCCGCGTTTGAAAGAGTGGTAAGGGGTAAGGGCTTGGGTTAGGCCTCGGGTTCGGCAGCGCGGGCAGCATGTCACGTCAGAGGTGTTCACATATATCTATATATATATATATATGTGTATGTGTGTGTATATATATACCCATTGGTTATCCGTAAGGGTTTCGCCCCCTCCCGCCGGCCCCCTCTCTATAATAACGGGACACATGAGAGTCGCATCGGTGCGTCTCGGCGCTGCCTTGGCGCATCTGGGAACATCATGCGGGGGCGGATAGGAATCATCAGTGCAAAAATTGGGACGTTGGCGTCATCGAAGACGCCTACGGCGAGTCACCGCCGCCCCCTGCCTTTTTGGAAGCGTCTGCGTGGCCGAAATTTGGGTTTGAGCTTGGCAAAGCTATCGGGTCACGCGTTCCCCGAGTGGGTTTCGAAAGCTTTCGGGGAACACAGAGTCGGGCGAGCTATCGGACCAGGTGGTTTCCGAGCTTTCGGGCCTCCTGGAGGACCTCTTGGAGGGGTTTTGGGCCGTCTTGGAGGCCTCTGGCGGGCCTTTTGGGCAGGCTAAGGCCATCTTCAGGCCATCTGGGGACGTCTTGGGTGCATCTTGGGGCCATCTTCGCCGCCTTGGAGGCCTTCTTGGCCGAATTGGAGGCATCTTGGAGGCCATCTTGGCCGTCTTGGAGGTCATCTTGGGCGTCTTGGGGGCCTCTTGGGCCGTCATGGGGCCATCTTGGAGGCCTGTTGGGCGCTCTTGGGGCGATGTTGGGGACCTCTTGGGCCGTCTTGGGCCGTCGGAGAGCTGAAAAGGAGAAAATGCCCAAATCCTCCAAAAACCGAAGGAATATCAATAATTTTGGCCTCTTCGGGCCTTCCTGGTGGAGCTCTTGGAGGCATTTTGGGGGTCTTGCAGGCATCTTGGGCGCCTCTTGGGCCACCTTCGGCTCTCTTGGGGATATTTCTGCCGTCTTGGAGGCCATCTCGGCCTCTCTGAGCCGACTTGGGGCCCTCTTGGAATGCTCCAGGGCCGCCTTGGAGGCCATCTTGGGCGTCTTGAAAACCTCCTGGGCCGTCTTGGGGGCCTCTTGGGGCCGTTTTGGGGGCCTCTTGGGCCGTTCTGGGGCCATCTTGGAGGCCTCTTGGGCGATCCTTGGGCGATCTTTGGGGGCTCTTGGGCTGTATCGGACCGTCGGAAGGCCGAAACGAAGCAAACGTTAAGATCCTTCGAAAGCCTAAGGAACATCAGTGTTTTTGCTTTTCTGGCCTTGCTGGAGGCCCTCTTGGAGGCCTCTTGGGCCGTCTTGGGCCATCTTCGAGCCAACTTCGGCCATCTTGGTGGGCTCCTGGCCCGTCTGACGCCGTCGGAAACCGTTTGGGGGCCCTTTCTGGTCCGACTTGGGGCCCTCTTGGGGTGCTCCAGGGCCGTTTTGGAGGCTGTCTTGGGCGTCTTCAAAGCCTCTTGGGTCGTTTTTGTGCCCTCTCGGGGCCGTCTTGGGGGCCTCTCGGGCAGTCCTGGGGCCATCTTGGAGGCCTCTTGGGCGCTGTGGGGGCGATCTTGGGGGCCTCTTGGGCCGTCTTGGGTCGTCGGAATTCCGAGAAGAAGCGAATGCGAAAATCCTTCAAAACCAAAGGAACATCAATGATTTTGGCCTCTTCGGGCCCTCCTGGAGGACCTCTTGGAGGCTTCTTGGGCCGTCTTGGAGGCCTCTGGGGGGCCTCTTGGGCCGTCTTCGGCCGTCTTGGACTCTCTTGGGCCGCATGGGAGACCATCTTGGGCCAACGTGGCCATCTTGGAGACCATCTTGGACCATCTTGAGCGAAACGTTGGGAGAATTGCGGGCCTTTCGGGTGGTCGGCGGGACTGGCCGAAGCCCCAGGGGGAGTCCAAAACCAAAACCGAAATAATTCAGCACGCCAGGCACCCCTGCGATGAATCGACAGGGGGCGGCGGATCGAAGACGCCTACGGCGAATCACCGCCGCCCCCTGCCTTTTTGGAAGCGCCTATGTGGCCGAACGTTGAGGCCAGACCTGCCAAGCTATCGGATCATGTGTTCCCCGAATGGGTTTGGAAAGGCTTCGGGGAACACATGGGCATCTTGAAGGTCATCTTAACCGTCTGGAGGCCATTTTGACCCTTTCGGGCCTTCTTGGAGGACGTCTTGGAGGGCTCTTGGGCCGTCTTGGAGGCCATCTTGAGCGTTTTGGAGGCCTCTTGGGCCGGGGCCTCTTGGGGCCGTCTTGGGCGATCTCTGGGGGCACTTGGACCGTCTCGGGCCGTCGGAAGGCCTAAGAAAAGCAAATGCCACAATCCTTGAAAAACTTTTAGGAAATCAATGACTTTGGACTTTTCGGGCCTTCCTGGAGGCCCTCTTGGAGGCCTCTTGGGCCATCTCAAGGCTATCTTCGGCCGTCTTTGTGGGCTCCTGGCCCGTCTGACGCCGTCGGAAGCCGTTTGGGGGGTCTCTCTGGGCCGACTTTGGGCCCTCTTGGAATGCTCCAGGGCCGTCTTAGAGGCCATCTTGGGCGTCTTAAAGGCCTCTTGGGTCGTTTTGGTGCCCTCTTGGGGCCGTCTGGGGGGCCTCTTGGGCCGTTCTGGGGCCATCTTGGAGGCCTCTTCGGCGATCTTTCGGCGATCTTTGGGGGCTCTTGGGCCGTCTCGGGGCCGTCGGAAAACCGAAAAGAAGCAAAAGTCAAAATCCTTAAACAAAAATTAGCCTGGCGAAGGACCCAACCACATGCAGCTGCGAGTAACGTAGGATATCACCTTCTCATCATAGGCAGCGCGCCGCGAGAAGAATGGAACACGGGGCAACGCGGATGGGAACCCCGAAACGTGTGCGGGGTGTGCCGAAGTGGGCTGGGGGACGCATGCGGGCGCTGCCACTGGGGCCTTCGGCGGAGCTCCCTGCGGGCCACTGAACTTGTGAGCGGTGTGTCAAAATGGGCAGAGCAAGCATACGAACCCTGCCGCTGAGGCCTGCAGTGTAGCTCCCTATGGGGCCACGGAACGAACGGGGAGTGTGACGAAATGAGGCGGGGCTGCCATGCGAACCCCGCCACTGAGGCCTGCAGTGGAGCTCGCTATGGGGCCACGAAGCGTGAGGAGGGTGTGCCAACATGAGGCGGGGCTGCCATGCGAACCCTGCCACTGGGCCCGTCGGTGGAGTCACCCATGGGGCCACGAAACGTGTGAGGGGTGTGCCGAAAAGTAAGCGGGGCCGCCATGTGAACCCTGTCACTGGGGCCTTCGGTGGAGCTCCCTATGGGGCCACGAAACGTGTGAGGGGTGTGCCGGAATGGCTGTGCGGGACGCATGCGGGCACGCCCACTGGGGCCTTCGGTGGAGCTCCCTATGGGGCCACGAAACGTGTGAGGGGTGTGCTGAATTGGGTGTGCGGGACGCATGCGGGCACACCCACTGGGACCTTCGGTGGAGCTCCCTATGGGGCCACGAAGCGTGTGAAGGGTGTGCCGAAATGGGTGTGGGGACGCATGCGGGCACACCCACTGGGACCTTCGGTGGAGCTCCCTATTGGGCCACGAAACGTGTGAAAGGTGATGAAATGGGTGTGCGGGACGCATGCGGGCACACCCACTGGGACCTTCGGTGGAGCTCCTATGGGGCCACGAAACGTGTGAGGGGTGTGCCGAAATGGGTGTGCGGGACGCATGCGGGCACACCCACTGGGACCTTCGGTGGAGCTCCCTATGGGGCCACGAAACGTGTGAGGGGTGTGCCGAAATGGGTGTGCGGGACGCATGCGGGCACACCCACTGGGACCTTCGGTGGAGCTCCCTATGGGGCCACGAAAGTGTGAGGGGTGTGCCGAAATGGGTGTGCGGGACGCATGCGGGCACACCCACTGGGACCTTCGGTGGAGCTCCGTATGGGGCCACGAAACGTGTGAGGGGTGTGCCGAAATGGGTGTGCGGGACGCATGCGGGCACGCCCACTGGGACCTTCGGTGGAGCTCCCTATGGGGCCACGAAACGTGTGAAGGGTGTGATGAAATTGGTGTGCGGGACGCATGCCGGCACACCCACTGGGACCTTCGGTGGAGCTCCCTATGGGGCCACGAAACGTGTGAGGGGTTTGCCGAAATGGGTGTGCGGGACGCATGCGGGCACACCCACTGGGACCTTCGGTGGAGCTCCGTATGGGGCCACGAAACGATGATGATGGTGGGAGGAGGGAGGAGGGCGGAGGGGAATGAGGGGGAGGAGGAAGGAGGGACGCGGAGCGCTGTCTCTTCAAAACGAGGACCCAATACCACAGGATGGTTGGGAATTAGCCTGGCGAAGAACCCAACCATATGCAGTTGTCAGTACCGCAGCT